AACAGAAAGAAAGGAAACTCCTCGATACTGTATGCAAACACCTCCGTGCTTAAGTGGTACGTCAACTTGAACTGATGTACGAGAGAACAAAGTTTTACTTGGCTGCTGACTGACTACTTTATTACTATCGATGTTTTGAGAAAAAATATTGATGCTCATTAGGTAAATAAAACAAAAATAAAACAGACTCTCAACGTGAATCAATTGATTATTGCTAGGAAACGAGTACTAGGTAAGGATGGCAAATCAATAGATGAAGCATTGAAACTTCATCAGTTGAGGTGGTTGGGGCATGTGTTACGTATGCCTAACCACCGACTGCCTCGACGAGCTATGTTTTGTGGTATAGGAGTAGGTTGGAAGAAAGCTAGGGGCGGCCAGACCAACACATGCCAGAAATGCATGAAGTCACTGACTAGTGGACTGAGTCATGTTGGCAGGTGTCGACTACCTGGTTGGGGTCCGCCAGACGAAAGTCACCAATAGTTAGAGATCTTGAATTGTTTGCAATGGCGCAAGTGCATCCATTCGTTGTGCTCTCTCAAATCCTAATCTTCTGGATTCGTCAGCACTTTCTCTACCTTTGTCTTTCTAACCTTATCTCACTGAATCATACTTCTTGAATAATATCTTCAAACCCTAGTCTTCTTCATTTACCATTAATACCTCTACTATCTCTATCACTATGGGATTTGAACTGAAAGTTGCGTCTTTGTGCTAATGTGGTATGGCAACCTGAACTAATGTACATACGTACAAAGTTCTACATTGCAACTGACTGACTGACTGATTATTATCAACATTTTCAAAAAAAAAAAACAAAACTCTACAGAAAAAAAAGTTCACGAAATATTTCAAAAAAATGATATTTATTTTTTTTAGTGAAAATAAATTTTTTTAATACATGAAACTTATGTACAATTAATGTTATTTATATACAAAATAATAATGAGAATATAAACAAATCATCATTGTCCAATTACAATAATAATAATCAAGTATTTATTGGAACCATGTAACATTTATTCTTTTCAGTACGTTCAATACCAATTGAATATAATTGATTACATTGAAACAAATTCTCAAATACATGATAACCATATTTACCTTGTGTACGATTAATTAAAAGTTTTAACAAATCGTAATCTTCTTCAAAACTTATATCTAATGGATCAATATGAGGATTTTCATATTGTATTAAAAGATCATTGATACATTGAACAAATTCATGATAAAATTCTACAGGTATATTATGTAAATGTTTCATGAGTAGTGAATTCTTCGCTGTGATTGGTCCATGTCTAACTCGTCTAACTTTGGATAGCAATGTAGCTGTACGTAATTTTGGACCAAGATTTGCAACCAGATCGATAAAAAATTTCAATGTTTCATGGGCAACTTGAATTTCTGTTTGTTTGTTTGTTTGATTGATTTTTGTGAAAAAAAAGAATGAGGAATAATTAATGAATCTGAAATACTAATTTAAGTAATATATTTATTCTATACAGTTGAGAAGAAAGGTACAAGTCAAGTCAAGTAAGTCAGTTTGCAACGTAGAACTTCGTACGTATGTACATAAGTTCATGTTGCTATACCACATTAGCACAGAGACGCATATGTCAAACCAAATCCCATAGTGATAGAGATAGTAGAGGTATTAATGGTGATGAAGAAGACTAGGGTTCGAAGATATTATTCAAGAAGTATAATTCAGTGAGATAAGATTAGAAAGACAAAACTAGAGGTGTTGAAGAATACAGAAGAAGAGGATTTGAGGGAGCTCAAAGAATGGATGCACTTGCGCCATTGCAAACGATTTTGAGTCATGTCATTCAAGGTCCCTAACCATGGGTGACTTAAGTCTCGCGGACCCTAACCAGGTAGTCTACATACAACAACATGACTCAGTCCACTTGTCAGTGACTTCATGCATTTCTGTCATGTTTTGTTTTGGCTACCTCTAACTTTCTTTCAACCTACTCCTACACTACAAAACAAAACTCGTCGAGGCAGTCGGTGGTAAGGCATACGTAACACATGTCCCAACCACCTCAACTGATGAAGTCTCACCACTTCATCGATCGATCTGTCATCCTTACTTAGTACTCGTTTCCTAACGACAGCATTGCTCACTCGGGTGTCCCACGGTATACGAGCAATGCTTCTAAGACATATATGATCGAAAACTAGTAACCTACGAATATCTTCGTAGGTTTTATAAAAACCCAAATTAATATTATGTGAATCAAAATATATGAAAAAAGAACAACAACATACCAATAGTAAAAAATGGCGGATCAAAATCTACACAACAGATTGCATTTACATACGGTGCCATTTGTCGCCTTTCTTCTTCCCATTCAAATTTACGATTAGGTATTGTTTTAGGATTACGTTTTTCATTTGGCAATGGACGTTCCCATGGTGAAAGTAATTGTTCTTCACCTTTATAATCTTCTACATTACGTGTAGGTTTTACTGGGCGTAAATCACTGCCAGCATTACGACCACATAATGCTAAATATGCATTTTGTGAATTAGGACGTAGTCCTGCTTGTAATAATGTCGAAGCATTGAATTGTGCCAGTAGTCCAATAAGAACACGATCGATTTTGCATTTTTGAACATGTCCTATTACGAAAAAAAACATAGAATTTTGTTAGTGGGACATAGATGGAACTAAACCATGACTACGTTGCTGCTAATTTCCTATCCAATCAGCGTCTGATCGAATCTTGGAGAACAGGGTAGAAGATTCTCGTACTGTTAGCTGCATGCTGATTGGTTAAATCTAATCCATTCGATCACGTGAATTTCTATCCAGAAGTCTCTCATGTAAATGCTATAAATAGACTAACGTTGTATCTATTTTTGGCCTTCGTGCCTTCGCCTTCGCCATCACCTCTGGCTTCTTATTCCTTGCTATTTTGGAATATAATCTTTTCCTGTTCAGCCGTGTTTTGATTCTTGGGAACTTGTCCAGTGTATTGTGGTCAGAGAATACTAAGCAATAGGATTTAGCTGGGAATTATCTAAGTAAGCACCACAACACATTTGTTGATTGAAATGACTGAAGCAAACATATGTACATGTATGACAGACAGACAGACAGATACAACGCAGAACTTCGTACGTAGGTACATAAGTTCAGGTTGATATACCACATCAGCAAAGAGACGTAATTGTCAATTCTAATCTCATAGTAGTAGAGGTAGTAGAACTATGAGCAGTAATCGGGTATATCACGGTTCGTAGATATTATTTGAGATGAGAAAGACGAAATTCATCAGAATTTGGGATAACACTAAGAATGGATGCACCTGCACAATTGCAAACGCTTCTGAGCAATGTCATTCAAGGTCAAACCTGTGATCAAATACTAGTAACCTACGAATATTCTCTACTGTTAATGGCCATGTTTCACACCCATAAAGTAGGACGGAGCGAACTGTTGCGCAGTATACTCGTCCTTTGGTTAGTAGACGGATATCTCCCCTACGTCATATGTGACTCAAATTGGCAAAAGCCAGTCAAGCCTTCTGTATTCGTGCCATTGCGTCAGACTTCAGGTCATTAGCACTGATGCGATTCCAAGATAAGTGAGGCAGTCAACACGCCCAACTGCTTCACACCCTATCGCTATTTCTAGTGCATATGCAACTCAATCCTGAAGCAGTATTTTGCATTTTGAGGCAGAAAATCTGCACGAATATGGTTGTATTGTTGCTTAAGGTGGTCAGAAGATTGTATTTTGTCAGCCTCTTCACCAAGTAGAACTATGTCATCGACATATTCTACGCGAACAAGTGAATCTCCCGGTAAAGTTCAACTCCTGAAAAGTCAGACGAAGATAGTGATATCTCTAAAAGCATGTCGATGACAAAAATGAATAAGAATGGGAAACAGGATATCCCTAATGAACATCACTTTAAGTAATCAGTTTCGATAACTGTTCGCCATAAGCTCTAGCTCGGTCAGTATTGTTTGAAAAGAGAGCTTGTATATTGTTAATGTACTTTTCTAGTACACAATTAAGTGACAGACATTGCCACAGAACCGCACGATTGACAAAGTCAAATGCCATTTTAGGGTTGAGAAAGACAAGTATTGTCGGATGTCTGGACGTGTGTTAATGTTCTGGGAACTGACGAAATGAATTTATGGTCTATGTAGTCAGTCAGTCAGTCAGTTGCAACGTAGAACTACGTGCATATGTCAGTCAGTCAGTTGCGACGTAGAACTTCGTACGTAAGTACATCAGTTCATGTCGCCATACCACATCAGCACAGAGATATAATTGTCAATTCAAATCCAATAGTAGAAGAGGTAGTAAAGGTATTAGAAGTAATCGTAGACGTTAGAATTAGAAGATAATATTCACGAAGTATGATTCTATGAGATAAGTTTAGAAAGTAAAAGCTAGAGGTGTTGAAGAACCCAGAAGATTAGGATTTGAGAGAACACAAAGAATAAATGCACTGGCGCCATTGCGAACGATTTTGAGCCATGTCATTCAAGGTCTCTAGCCATCGATTATTATCATCTCGCGGACCCCAACCAGGTAGTCGACAATTACCAACGTGGGTAAGTCCACTTGTCAATGACTTCATGGATTTATGCCATGTTTTGGTTTGGCCGCCCCTAGCTTTCTTTCAACCTATTCCTACACTACAAAACAAAGCTCGACGAGGCAGTCGGTGGTTAGGCATACGCAACACGTGTCCCAACCACCTCAACTGATGAAGTTTCACCACTTCATCTAATGATCTGCCATTCTTACCTAGCCCGTTTCCTAATAACAGCGTTGTTCACTCGGGTGTCCCACGATATACGAGCAATGCTTCGAAGACACCTATGATCGAAAACCAATAACCGACGAGTATCTTCTACTCTCATTGGCCATGTTTCACAGCCACAAAGTAAGACGGAGCGAACCACTGCGCAGTACACTCGTCCTTTAGTCAGCAAACGGATATCTCGCCTACGCCATAAATGACGCAGGTTGGCAAAAGCCAATCGAGCCTTCTGTATCCGTGCCGAGATTTCGTCAGTCACCAGGCCATCAGCACTGATGAGCCTTATGGTCAGCCTTACTAGCAGATATCACTGCTGTTTCCACAGCCTTTTTGATATCATTCCATCCTGCTTCCGGATGGGAATCGCTTAAATGGTCGCCTAACTGTCTTTCCAGTTCCCACTGAAATATATTCTTCGCCTTATTATCATTAAGTAAAACCCTAAGAGGCTTTCTTACGGTGTCTTTCCTACGCCCAGTAAGCTTCAAACAAATACGCGCTCGCACTAGGGCATGATCTGAATCTAGGCATGTGCCCCAGAACGAGCGACAGTCCTCTATCGAACCCCTCCATCGGTGGCTGATGGCGATGTGATCTAGTTGAGTCCAACGTTGAGACGACTTTGGAGGTCGCCAGGTCAACAGATGCTTTTCCTTATGCCTAAAGTTAGTGTTTGCTAAGGATAGGCGGTTGTCTGAGCATGTTTGCAACAGACGGTCACCATTGTCTGTTCTCTGAGCCGCGACACCATAACATCCACCTAGGTGTTTCTCCTGCTCACTTAGTCTACCTACTTGAGCAATAAAGTCACCAGCCATTATTACTATATCAGAGCGCCTAGCTTTTTGGAGGAGGTCCGGAAGCTTTCTGCAAAACTCATCCTTAACCTCGTCTGAACTGCATTCAGTGGGGGCATAGGCAGATACGATGAAGAGGCAACGGCGATTGTCCCTATCTTTCCGAGTCCTTACTGTCCCGTTTAGTCGGACAGCGCACAATCGACTATCTATTGGGATCCAGTCAAGGAGAGATTGTTCTGCCCTACGACTCAATGCTATGCCTACGCCAGCAAGACCCCTGGAAGCAGCATCAGGGCTACCGGATACACGAAGAGTAAATCGAGCTGCTTCTTTATTTTGACATGGTGTGGTCAAGTGTATGACGTGACTCGGATCCTGTATGCGCGTTTCCGAGACGCAGCATACATCGATGGCACGAGATTCTAAAGTCATAGCTCAGGAAGCCTGTTGCCCTATTTGACACAATGTCCGTACATTAAATGCTCCAACATGTAGTCTAGAGCGAGGTTTAAGGAGACCAGGAACGACCTTTCGCGAACTCGTATCGTCTGCATTAGCTGTGCACTGTGATGAATGAATGTGAGAAGAGTTAGTCGTGGAGATAAGAGAGATACTAGGGGGTGTAGAAAGGATATGATTTTGACTAATTTGGTCTCGCGTGCTGTTATGGGTATGAGGGCGGTTGTCACTTCCCGGCTGCCCACACCGTGGAAGGTTGTTTCTTGAGGAACCTGAAAAGGAAGATAGATTAGTGTTGGTCCTCAAGACCTGGGAGCGTGACCGCAGAGTCCAAGGGACAACTGCTTGAGGCCGGTCACGCACGGCCTTTTTATGAAAGGTATTTAGAGGATTAGCTCCGTTCTTAAAGGCCCTTAGTGGGAACCCTTACCCAAGGAGACGGAAATCCGTGAGTTAGGGGAGGTGTGACATTTTTAGGGCCGACCTTTCCTAACCCTTCCTTCCTTGTGAGAAGGCAGCATCGCTGCAGATGCTGGTTGTCCGAGGGAAACACCTTACTTCTGTCACACCCCTCCATCACAGTCAGCAGTACGACTTCGCCCTCAGACCTTGGGTAGCTGCTTTTAGTCTCATCGTTCTCCAATCGACCAGCCTGGCATGGTAGAACCTTCAGGAACCTATGTTTTAGCCAGTATAGCTCGGTTGGGTCATCACGATAGGCAAGCCCGACCACCACGTCAAGGTAGCAGCTACGGTCGGGACGTACGTATGTACATAAGTTCATGTTGCCATACCACATTAGCACAAAGACGCAGATGTCAAATCAAATTCCATAGTGATAAAGATAGAAGAGGTATTAATGGTAATGAAGAAGATTAGGGTTTGAAGATATTATTATTCAAGAAGTATAATTCAGTGGGATAGGGTTAGAGAGACAAAGGTAGGGGTGCTGACGAATCCAGAAGATTAGGTTTTGAGAGAGCACAAAGAATGGATGCACTTGTGCCATTGCAAACGATTTTGTGCCATGTCGTTCAAGGTCTCTAACCATTGGTGACTTTCGTCTCGCGGACCCCAACCAGGTAGTCTACATCTACCAACATGACTCAGTCCACTAGTCAGTGACTTCATGCATTTCTATGTAGTCATGTCTAGGTC